GTTAAGCCCGATTGCAGTACTTCCCACTCGTTAATGGTGCTGCATATTTAATTAAAAGTGAGCGAGTCAGCGCGCGTTGAAAGGTCCAGCATGACTCTTGCTAAGCCCCACTCCGAGAACCCTTGCCCTCTCCTGAAACTCCCCCAGCTCCAGCTCTATTTGCGCTACGCTGCCTGCAGCTGTCGCAACCAAAAATAGTTGCTTTATGAGCGACTCGTCGTCGTCTTGCTGTCTCCCCTCACAATGCAGCTGATTAGTAATCTTATCAATAGCTTAGACATAGCATAAGTCAACAGTGTCAGACCTGCCGAAAATGAGTGAGAGGGGCGCGCGAGCCCCCTTGATAATGCCCATTAATGCGCGCCACAAGTCCCAATGACCTACTAAATGCATATTGATAAATCATTGCGGCTCAAGTTCTCTGACAAGCGAAAGCGGAGAATACTTTTCGAATTATCGTTTACTCTTATCAACAGATTTCTCCAATTTTCCTTTCCTTTCTCGGTTTTGCAGTTGGCTTTCCCATACTGTTGTTCTTCCTGCTTGGGGATCCGTACAAGCGCGGCTTCTTCTGTGACGATGAGTCGCTGAAGCATCCCTTCAAGGACTCCACTGTGCGCAACTGGATGCTCTACATCATAGGCCTGGTGATACCAGTGGGCGTGGTAAGTGGGCAATTGAATGGAATTGAAAGAGAAACTCAATTTCAAATTGAATTGATATAAATTGTATTGCGCTTATGTGATGCGGGCTCTTTGGGGACTGAAGCAGCTCCCAAGTGGCCACCCATGCTAAATGATGTCAAGCATGTGTCAGTCAGTTGTTTTTTGATACCCTCGAGTCTATTGCACAATCATTTCAAGTTCACATGGCCAGAATAGACAGACAACTCCCTCAATGTGTGCTCTACTTTTAAGCTCTTGCACAACTCTGAGTGGGATCTGACAGAAAGGGAGAGAGAGTGAATGAAAGAGTGAGAGAGAGAGAGAAAGATAATCCGATGAAGACATCTGTTGTCCACTCCACATGTTACAAACGAAACCAGAGCAAGCATCTGTTTGTGCCTCTGTAAAGCAAACGATGGGCCATAAACTGGCTAATGGCCCTAGTTCTAATGAAGCCTACATAAAAACAAATATTGCCCAATATTCAGACTATTTGCATACCTTTTGCCTTGAAACTAAACAGCTCATTCACCCAAATGTTGCTCGTAATTATTTCCCCTATTTATCTCCGCCTCCGCCTCTGACTCTGGCTCTGGCTCTGGCTCTGTTTATATTGGCCCTTCGTAAGAAAACAAACTACCCAAAAATAAAAAGGTGCTAAAAGGAAATCGTTCATTGATAAATAGAGTTGTAGTTAGTTCTAATAATATAGCCTTTTTACCAGACATATTGTCTTTTTTATTGCCTCTTGCAACTTTTTATCCTGTTTTCTGTCTGTCTCTTATCTAGTCAGTTTGACTCTATTTCACTCAGATTTACCATCATTCTACTTCCTCTTTAATTAAGCATGTAAATATCAACATTTTGTAATATTAATATTAATATTAATTTCTTTCACTCTCTCCCACACAGATACTAATCGTTGAGCTGCAGCAGTCTAGAAACGCGAAGGTCTCTGGCAATGGACCGGCGAGGCGCTATGTCTTTATGTCGTACCAGATACCCGACTGGCTGGTCGAGTGCTACAAGAAGATGGGGGTCTTTGCCTTTGGCGCCGCTGCCAGTCAACTGACGACAGATATAGCCAAGTACTCAATTGGCCGATTGCGTCCCCACTTCATAGCGGTAAGCGGGGCAATCGAATGACAATTAAGCAACTCCGATTGCCAATTAATTTTAATATGCAACATATGCAAGGGGCTTAATGCAACATGACACGAGCGACAGCCGACAGGAGACAGGAGACACATTGAGTGGGTTGGCTCACTGGCGCTGCATTGGCAGAGAGAGAGAGAGAGAGAGAGAGAGAGAGAGAGAGAGAGAGAGAGAGAGAAAGAGATATAGGGAGTATAACTAATTTGGAATGAAATATGTTCCTTTTATATACATATATGAAAGAGTTATTATTACTATTATTATTATTATTATTATTCTTATTTTTATTATTATTATAAATGTATGATTCTAACTTAGATCAGCTAAGGCTTATATATCCTATATTGAGCAGGATGTACACTCGTCGCCTTGCCTTAGATATCTCTTTTATTATATTTATTTATAGTTTCTGTTTATGTTAAGTATTTTGCAAACGAAGGCTGCTCAAGCAGCAAAAACAATAGCTTTTCAATGTCTTGCATCGAGCACTATTACTGCATATACATATAGGGAATGACTTTATAAGCAGCCCTCGCATAGCCGCGTGTCGCCACAGATATGACGGGTTGATGGGGCCCTTCGAATGTTGCTTGTTACGGACTCCCCTAGCTGTCAGGCAGCACAGAGACGCCCTATTATTTAGTGAAGTGCGGCAACAGCGCTGCAAAATTGAGCATCAAATGCACAGCACATGTTGTAAATAGCAAAGGAAAGGGGGCAAATGTGTGTTGCGCATAGGCGGGGCAGACAGTAACTGTAACTAAGCAAACTTAGCGGATGCTCTTCTTGGCGCAGCTCTCAATATTTGTTTGTGCTTGATCTCTTTGCCGTCGCACAGGTGTGCCAGCCGCAGATGCCCGACGGATCTACCTGCGACAACGCAACAAATGTGGGCAAATATATAACGGACTTCACGTGCAAAGGTGTGGGCAGCTCAGCGCGGATGCTGAAGGAGATGCGACTCTCGTTCCCTAGTGGACACTCCAGTTTCACCTTCTACACCATGGTCTACGTGGCGGTAAGTTGAGATGTCCGAGCTGTTGCCCCCCATTTTAAGCATCTCCTTCCTCTCGCCCATCTCTGTGTAGCTCTATCTGCAAGCCCGCATGAATTGGCAAGGCTCGAAGCTGCTGCGACACTTTCTACAGTTCCTCTTCATCATGATTGCCTGGTATACGGCGCTGAGTCGTGTCTCCGACTACAAGCATCATTGGTCGGATGTTCTAGCTGGCTCAGCAATCGGAGCTGCCTGTGCGGTGATTGTGGTAAGTTCCTTTCCCTTCTACTCCTCTACTTCTATCATTCCACAGACTGTATGTAGCTAGTTTTACACACACACGTCTCACTTGATCATTTTTTCTAGAGCTACTTTATGCCCAAAAGCGTGTTTCGACATGCAATCAGTTTGGCCCACCAAAGAAGCTAAGAGGCAGTGAACAGAGAGAATGAAACAGAGAGAGAGACAAATAGATTTTCTTCGGCATAATTTCAAAGCTTTTGTACTGTCAAGATTCTTAGCTATTAAAATAATATTAATTGACATACAAACACACACACACATAGTGGCGTTTCCTTTAAGTCGGCTTTATGTTAGAAGTTCACCATAAGCACGAGATATTCGTGCAACAAATTGGCTCGCTCTCAACACCTGCGACAATGGGATGTGTGGCATGCGAGTGAATGTGGCAGACTCATTCTGCTGCGGCTACAAACATACATACTTCAGCATAGATCAGCAATTTTACGCTCCATTTGGTTTATTGGACGTGACTCGCGTCCCTTGGACAACTATTTCTCACCTAAAAGAAACATACCATACTTTTAGGAGCCATCTGTATAGCCTTCTATGCAAACTTTTACTATGAATTGAAATTTAAATATAATATGTATAACACATTTGTATCTTTTCTTTCAGGCTAACTACGTTTCTGATCTGTTTCCCTCAAAACCGAATGCGAAGTCCTATCTGCCGCGTAACTCTCAGGATGTCAGTCAAACGCATTCAACGGTTGTCGTCACAACGAATTAGCCTGCAGTTGACATTAATAATGATTTTAGCAATCGTTTAGGACACAAATTCCATAGTTTATAAGCGAAATATCAAGGATCTGTCAAATTGTATTTCTTGTTGAACATTTTAAAACACCGCAAAAGCAAAGCTTTCGTTCGATTTTATTTCGATTTTAATGTAAACAAATTTTGTATTTAATATTACTCTACTCGACAGGTAGTGCATTACTTAACTATGTACGTACAACTTAATGTATTAGTCTGAGATATAGGCGTTTGCTGATTCGCAAAGATTATATTCACTAAAGTGACCTTAAGATTATATAAAATTCGATTTGCAGATTCGCGAATCGTCAATAAGTATTATGTTAAAATGAGTCTTTAGTTTTTTATTAAAACACTTGAATACAACAAAAGAAAAATGTAATTTATTTCTAAGAAATGCTAATAATAAGCCTGTTCAAATAAAAAATATTTTAGAAATTTTATCATTGTTTTGAATATGCCGCGTTTACTTTTAGGGATTATTTAGTGACATTTATCACAGTATACTTTTTGAAAATATACTCCACTTTCGATAACAAAATACTACTGCTGTTTTTCATTAACATCGATAGTTCTACAGATAACAATGCCGGACTACTACTACTGCTGTTTTTTGTCAACATCGATAGTTCTACAGATAACAATGCCGGACCCTAAATTTGTATTAATCGATAGTTAGCTTGCATCTCTGGCAATTATTGTAGTCTAAACAAAACCGGCTTGTTTTTTGGAAATAAAAAGTAAATATTACATATATCTCATGTTTAAGGAGCATAGTTTTTTGTTATTATTGTATAAAGAATATAATGATAATGATTTGGCTTGGGTGTAGTGCGCATATTCTTAAGAAGAACACTCTCTTGAAACATGACGTGTCACCAGAGGCCTAAAGAATAATACGTTTATTTTCTGCTTGCAGAAGCTCCGTATCAAAATGATAACTGACGTGCAATTGGCAATTTTCTCAAATGTCCTGGGAGTATTTCTGTTTCTGCTTGTTGTTGCTTACCACTACATTAACGCCAATACGGGAAAGTAAGTAAAAAACTAAAAAGATGTGACCCGACAAGCAATTCAATTACTTTTATTCTTAAATTTCAGGTCTAGTATTAAAAACAAATGATCTTTAAGGTTTCCACAAGTTAATTAATACAAGTATCTTTTAAAACCAACTTCAAGTAATAAAATGGTATAATAAAACTTAGTCCATATCGTCCAGCGCTTCCTTTATTGCCCGCACATCTAGCAACGCCTTCTCCTTGCGTGTATTGAAAGTGCGCTGCGTTGGATGACCGAAACTGAAAGCCTTGATATATGGAAATTTTTCAGCGCTCATGTTCGCAGCCACATTTACTTCCTTATCAACATCCATAGCATTAGTTGCTTTCTTTGTACAACTTTTTGCTTTATTGGGAGCCTTTCCTTGATCAAAGCGATAGTTCGCCGGAAATTTGTGTACTTTAATGCAATGATCCTTTCGGTCGGCAGGCTGAAAGAACTTTAAAGGACATTCTTCGATGTAACAGGTGTAATGGGGTTTGTCGCCTCGCTCGACGCTGGCTGCGAAGTACAAATCATGCTGCTCGGTTATGTGAAGATCCAAAAGGTGTGGAGTTGGCAATTGCCGCCGACATTGTATGCAGCTGTAGTACTGCGACTGTGTTGTCTTCGTGTTCACAACGTTTGTCCAAATCGGAATCTTTGCTTCAGCTTCTTCAATGTCCTCGAGATCAATGAGTACACCAAGCTTCTTAAATGGAGGCAAAATTGAAGCAATCTTGTTTCCTTCCGTAGACGTTATAAAACCAACAGATAGATTATCTAATATCTTTTGCAATTGATCTTTTGCGAGTAAAACGCCGGAAGATATTTCCGAATTCATTACGCGTTTGCTTTTAAACCAAATGACCTATTTATATCGATGAAGAAACCCAAATAATAACACGGAAGTCAACTATCGCATATTTGATAGCCTATCGAAATATAAAGAGTATTTGAGGAAATTATATATATCGAATCGAAATTTGTATGCTAATATCGATTGTCGATATTTCTTTGTTTTTATTGACTAAACATATGCGCTGTGGAATAATAAAAAAGAGTTGGAAATATGTCCGCTGTTAGCGATTCTGCGGGTGCAGATAACTGCTTTGATATTGAAAAAGTCTCAGATTTATTTGAAGGTAGCTTAATAGACGATGATGATGTACGCATGGACGACTATTTGGAAGCGTATGAGGAGATAATGAAGTAAGTGAAATAAGATAATCTTGTCAACAATAAACTTAAATTGATTTCTGCCTCAGGTTCTTCCTGCTGATGGGCAGCGTGTTTACCTTTGTAAGCAGCGACGTGCGAAACAAACTGGATATACTGTATGATCTACGGCAGCAGGACAACGAAGAAAACAAACACTTCGATAGTATTAAGACTATGCTGCTATATGAGAAAGGAGCCAGCCTCCTGCACCAAAAAGGCTACGTGTCTGGCAGTCGGACCTTATTGCGTCTGCATCGTGGCCTAGGTACTACTCTGTGAAACAGATAACGGATGATTATCTTATCTATGTATGTACGTTCATTCGTTTCAGAGTTTGTGTACGAGTTTCTGCTTCGACTGCAAGACGTGGCAGATGAGGAGAAGGCGCACCATATCTGCAAATCAGCTTACAATGATACCCTGGCCAAGCACCATCCATTCCTCATACGTAAAGGCGCTCAAGTAGCCATGTTTGCAATACCCACGCGCGGCGAACTCTTCAAGCGCGTCTGCAACGATGCGAATGTGTCGAACGCCATTCAAAGGCTGCCTGATATGTTGCGGAATATGCAAAATGTCTACAATCGCACGGATCAGCTTTATACGCTTGAGGAGCTCCACAGCCTGCCTTAGAGCTGTCACTGAATAGGTCATTATTGAAATTGTAGCGTAATGTGGAGCCCATTAGCCATTCTCTGTCTTATTGCGTAGTCCATTCCGATATTAGAGTCGTTGTTTGTATTTATTGCTTCTGCTCGTGTTTGTCTAATTAAAGCTTTAGCATTCGACTAAGGAATATCTCTCATCTATATTTATCGTATAGTTAACTTATCTGTGACGAAATTTACAATGGATATAGTCTAGTCGCTATTTGATTAGATTATACAGCCTCGAATCGCTGTCGTAGAACGTTGCCCCTTATAGCCTAATTAAAGCTAATCAGGATTTATCATTTCAGAGACAGTAAGCCGAATTAGTTAAAATCCCAAAGATTTACAAGTCTGTCTTCTATAATTATATAGCTATAATTTAACTGCAATCTGCAATTATGCATTTAATGGCTTGCAGTGACGCACACAAATGACCGATAATTTCCTGTCCTGTTTCGCTATTGATTACTCAATTTACGCACATCTACTAGCCAAATAATTTTAGTCCCATTAGTCAACTAGCCTCCATTATTTCTTATCAGTCGTTTGTGTTGTGCCTTGTGCAAAAAGTTTGTTATGATGACGATTTAATCAACCACTTCAAACAAACACCAAAATTATTTATAAAACGGCCTGCACGGGGGCTACGAACGCATTTGAAAACTGTCTGCCACAGACATAAGTAGATTTTGTAAACTTTCGTGAATGGGGCGTTATGAATAATCTATCGAATAGTAAACGCGAGCCAAATCCCTATCTAAAGGCAAATATATTCTCGAAATGGTTTTTTCTGTGAGTTTAATATTCAAAATAATGAAAATAAATATTTTAAATAGTATACAAATTAAATTTTCAACAATACTGATACATTACAAATATTTATTATAATAATTACAATAATAATGATTATACAATATTAATGATAATTACAGCAATAATGATAATATAATATGAAAAATACCCGTACTAATAAAATAGTAAATGAGACGCAAAAATTAAATCAGTTTCGTTCGTTCTCGAGTTCATATTGTTTGAGAAATAAAGCCCATTTAAGCTCCATATCTTAGACATGTCTCGATAATGTGTACGACCAAATATTCCCTGTGCATTCCCTTTCGTTTATCACTGATTGGTAATTTAAGAGATCCGTAGAGCAGCCGTCAGCCTGGCAGCACGTAGTTCCAATTAACTGTCAGCTTAAGACTGATTGCTGTTTTCATCACTTAGATGGATGCGCCATGTATTTCGGCAAGGCCGACGAGAAGAGCTTTCGGAAAACGGTCTATACGCAAATTTACACTATTTCGATAGTGCCAAATTGACGGAGGACTTGCAACAACCATGGATACGTGAATCTCAACGCAAACAACCAAGTTCGCTGCACCTGATCTTTGCCCATTATGGATGGCAGTTTGTGCCTGCCTGCGTGATCTATTCAATTCTGGAGATAGTTATACAGTAAGTACATGAATAAGCATATTGAAAACTTTGTACCCGTCTCTGAGTTATCCTGAGCCTGCAGCTAGAATACAAATGGCTGCATTTCTCTCAAATACTCTTTGCATTGTTTCTCTGCAGTGCCTTTCAGCCACTCTTTTTGGGTGGCTTGATCTCCTACTTTGCCGAGGGGCAAACGAGCATTAGCAAGGAAAGCGCCTATCTGTATGCGATGGGCATTGTGCTGTGCGCGCTGATCACGTCACTGGTATTTCATCCATTTATGTTTTACGTCTTTGCCGTGGGCACAAGGATTCGTGTGGCCTTTGCTGGAATGATATACAGGAAGTGTTTGCGTGCAGCGATCAATGGCCGGGATGGACTTGGCGCCCAGGCGATATCAGTGATGTCCATTGATTTGCCACAATTCGATCTGACATTCTACTTCTTTCATGACTTGTGGAAGGGACCCGTGGAGGCGTGCCTCTTTGGCTACATCATGTACACTCAGATTAACTGGACGGCTTTGATAGGCATTGCCTTCATAGTGCTGTTGATTCCGCTTCAAGCGTGGGCTGCCAAAGCGGCAGCCAAATTTCGCACCAGATCAGCGGATCAACGGGATCGCCGTGTGAAGCTGATGAACGAGATTATAAGTGCCATGCAGGTGATCAAAATGTATGCATGGGAGCAGTCTTTTGCAAAGCTGATAGCCAAAGTGCGTAAGATGGAGGCTAAAGCCATCCGAGGTTCCGTTAGCATATATGCGGCGCTGCAGTGCACCAACATGATATCGAAGGTGTCTTTGTTCCTAAGTCTCATTGCCTATGTGTATACAGGTGAAGCGGTTACGGCCAGAAAAGTGTTTATACTCTCGTCCTACTACAGTTTGCTAAATGATTCGCTGCTGCACTTTTGGCCCTTGGCAATTACCACCTGGGCGCAGACTGTGGTTAGCGCAAGGCGAGTGACGGAGTTCCTACAGCAATCTGAATCGCCCACCAGCGAGAACTGCTCCTCCAACTGTAGCGACAATCCCACCCTACAATTTGATTTCAAAAAGGCACCTGCAAAGCCTCTCTCTGTGGGTCGATTGCACTGCATAGAGAGCATGGAAAAGTCCCTCACTTTTAGCCAGGTTACCGCCAGCTGGAACAAGCCAAGCGTTAGGCAGGCACGAACTGCGCACATTGAGGACATCAGCTTTAAGCTTCTTCCCACACAATTAGTGGGCATTGTCGGCAACGTAGGCTGTGGCAAGAGTACGCTCCTAAACGTCATATTAGGCGAAGTAGAGCTCATGCAAGGTCACATTGAAGTGCATGGCAAGTTGAGCTATGCCCCACAGGAGCCCTGGATCTTCCAGGCCAGCATACGTGACAATATTGTGTTTGTGGAGCCATACGAGGAGCAGCGGTATCGAGCTGTTGTGCACGCCTGCCAGCTGGACTGTGATCTAGCTATGCTGCCTCACGGTGATGCTACTGTGGTGGGCGAACGGGGCATCAGCTTAAGTGGAGGACAGAAGGCGAGAATAAGTCTGGCCCGTGCTGTGTATCGAAAAGCAGATATATATTTATTCGATGATCCCCTTGCTGCGGTGGACTCACGAGTGGGCAAACTGCTAATGGACAAGTGCTTCAATCGGTTCCTAGGAGACAAGCTGCGCATATTGGTTACACATCATGTACAGTTGCTGCAGAATGTGGATCACTTGCTACTTATCGAGTCCGGACGTCTGACTCAGCAAGGCACTTATGCGGAGCTGCGAGACGTTATTGAGAAGCATGCAGCACCCGATTTGGATGCCGTTGAAGCAGACAAGCAACTGGTGAAACGAGTCCTTAGCCAAGTGGACAGAAACTCCAAACTATTCCAGGATCCTACAGAGACGGTGGATGATCAATCCAATAAGGAGAGTGCCTTCTCAGAACGCCAGCAACAAGGAGCTGTTGGCTACGCTACTTACATGGATTACTTTCGCGCTCTTCGCTCACCCACCTTGGTTTGCCTGGTGCTTGCGCTCTTCATTGTCGCTCGAGTTTGCCAAGCTTTAATGGACATCTTCATTTCGCGCTGGGCTACCTGGGAGGAAAATCGAGCAACACCCGAGCAGTTCGAAGAGACTCGTGCGCGCATGGTTACCTGGTACGCGGTGCTCTTGGTGTGCACCTTGGCCCTCTACTTGTTGCGCACCTTTGGCTTCTTTCTGTTATGCTTACGTATTTCATTACGATTGCATAATTTGCTCTTCGATGGGATTATACGTGCTCGCATGTTCTTCTTTAATGCCAATCCCTCGGGTCGAGTGCTAAATCGCTTCTCCAGTGATATTGAGAACGTGGATGTGGCCTTGCCGCAGGCTATGATGGACTCCTTGCAGGTAAATAACTGTAATAACTGTAACATACACATTTACTTACAATATAATTTATCATTTGCTACAGTTCTTTGTAGATGTGGTGGCTGTCTTAGTCATCGTGGCAATCGCCAACTACTGGCTCCTCATTCCAGCAGCTATCATGGCGGCCTTGATGTACTTTTGTCGCTCTTTCTACATAGGTGCCGGTCGCAGTCTGAAACGCATTGAAAGCTTAAGTAAGTAAAAGAGTAAATTAAAAAAAAAAATTCTGACTTACTGACATGCTTTGGCCTTTTTCATGCTCAGCTCGTAGTCCAGTTTACACACATGCCAATCAAACGTTACAGGGCTTGACTACTATACGAGCATTGGATGCGATGCCGCAATTGGAGCACACTTTCCATGGCCATCAGAATACGAACTCGTCTGCGCTCTTTCTCTACACAAGCGCCAATCGTGCCTTTTCCTTTTGGACGGATCTCATTTGTGTCGTTTACATACTAGCTGTGACATTCAGCTTCCTGGTTATTAATGAAACCTTCTACAGTGGCGATGTTGGCCTGGCTATCACACAATCAATGACCTTGGTCATAATGTGTCAGTGGGGCATGAGGCAGACGGCTGAGCTGGAGAATAAGATGACCAGTGTGGAGCGCATATTGGAATATGCGAGGACCCCATCTGAGCCACCTTTGGAAACAGCAAAGGAGATAAATCTCGCATCTGAATGGCCACAAAAGGGACACATACGCTTCTGTAATCTACGCATGAAATATGCTCCAGACGATATCGAAATTCTGAAAGGCTTGACCTTTGAGTCGCAGCCCATGGAGAAGATTGGCATTGTGGGACGTACGGGCGCTGGCAAATCTTCGATAATCCAAGCACTGTTCCGGCTTGCAATAAATGAAGGCCTTATCGAGATAGACGGTCAGGACATTGCCCTATTGGGCTTGCATGATCTGCGCAGTCGCATCTCAATCATACCACAGGAGTCAGTTCTCTTCTCCGGTACATTGCGATTCAATCTCGATCCGTTTGGTATGAAGAGTGACGAAGAGCTTTGGAACGCACTCGACGACGTGAAGCTGAAGAAATACGTGGCCGGCTTGGAGGGAGGCCTCTCATGCTATATGCAAGATGGCGGATCGAACTTCAGCATGGGCCAAAGGCAATTGGTTTGCTTAGCTCGAGCCATACTCCGCAATAATCGAATACTCATTATGGACGAGGCGACTGCTAATGTGGATGCGGAGTAAGTAATTATTGATCACCTGCAAATTTCGATGGGTCTAATTAGTTATTATTACAGCACTGACAAACTCATACAGGAAACAATTCATACCAAGTTTGCCCAGTG